GGCCAACCGGGCGGAACGACCGGCCAGGCGGTCGGGCCCCCTGCCCTGGCAACGAGCCGGCCGCCGGGCGGCCCGGAGTTCAGCCTAGCAAACGGACCGATAATTTTTGAAATAGGAAAAACATAGAAAGTGCAGGATTAGACTGGTATTGCCAAGTCTGGTCATCGTCTTGAAGAATAGATAAAGGCAGTGTTCGTGTCAGGACATTCGTTAAAATTGGAACAATACAGAGAAGATTATCATGGGCCCCGAGCAACGGTGACACATATAAATCGAGAAATGGTCTTAATTAAAAATGAGTCTGTGTTCATGGTGTGGATTGCATAAAACGTGAGACCAATGCGATCAGTAGTGACATGATAAATCCAGAATGATGTTCCTGTCAGGCAGTGGATTCTAGACAGGCAATTCCTTTCTTTTTTTCCTTTTTCTTCTTTATTTGTTAAGGAGCTGTCCCTTTTTACTAAAAACACTGGATGATCGGTCCAGCATCCCTTACATCAGATTCCTACTCAACGTTTCCCTTCATTATGGTCAAGGGACCCTGAAGCAACAGCTTTGATTACTTCCTTTTTGATGAAGGATGTACTACTGCTCTACGCCTGTTTCTTTTTAGCTTTTGTGGACGAAAATTAAGTCAAAAAACTTTCGTCTATACGAGAAGCAAATTGCTGTGAAAATAGAAAAAGATCTTCGCTTAAACCAAAGGGTAAATCTTGTGCAACTCCACGTGGTCGTATATAACTAGCATGCATTCTTGTTTCCCCAGCGCCTTCGTGGGAGCCTGGATTATGCGCTATATTCTTATAGGCAGCAATCCATAGTTAGAAAGGTCATCTCCTAGCGTCGACGAATTCTCTTCCCAAATAATGCGTATCGATTTCCTTATCTAGGTGTTTAGCTGCTTCGGGTAGTAGTCCCCGTTTTTTTTTCCTTTTCAAGTTGCACGTTCAGGCTGGGATGGTTGGCGTTCAATCTCAAGGGTTCAATTCTCTGAACTGGAGAACCCAATTGAAACTACCTGAATGCTCAGGGAGGTCGCCACACTACTTCTAAGACGGGATTGTGGAATACGACCTGTATGGGTCCCTAGAACCCTGAATATCAAGGCCAGCGACCTTTCTAAATGGAAGGATGCCAGAGATTAGGGTTTGTCAGCGCACTAAGCAGACCATCTCCAAAGGGCATTCGGAGTTCCACCCGTTGAAATGAAGGTGGAAACCATTGCTAGTTTGCTAGCTAATAACTCTGCTGAGTTCTCCCGTCATGTTGCATTGTGCTGTATGGGGCGCTCCTGCCGTACTATGGTGTGATTGCTTCCTAGGAAGGAAGGAAGGATTTACCCCTGCTCCATCCAAAATCCTCCCTAAACTTTTGTCATTTCCAGGTCTCTCGAACACTGCCGTTATGTGCTACTTCTCTCAGTGCTACTGGGCTGCCTGATGTCCGCGCGAGCTCCTGGAGGTGTTACAGAGGGCCGGTTAAATACCTTTGCCCCTTCTGTTTAGTTTTCCATCTCTTCTCCTTCTTTTACTGGGGATTGTGCAGAGGTAAATATCTGAAGCTTGCCTCTTTCTTTGCTCTCTATGTTGTAACTGGTAACCTTTTCTATTGGGCAATGTATGCGCCAATGTTGATCAATAACTTGACCCTGCAGTCAGGCAAATTCAGAGTCTTTTTTTTCTTTCTTTTTTTTTTTTACTTTTTAAGGGAAGACCCTGTCTATTGTGGGGCGCAGTAGTCCGGTTGCTTGTCACTGGCAAGCATGAAACAGAGTTCAACATAGGAAGAGTAGAGACAAGAACAGCCTTTGCCCCTGCCGCACGAGTCGCTTGCAGGGGGCCTGGGGGGGCTGCACCGTGACGTTTACTTGTTTCCCCACCCTGGGCTTTCATAATGGCCGGGAAACTTACAGTACCCAGTCGCACATTATGAGGGCTCCGGCGGAGCAGTATCAGATCAAGGACGTGAACCAAAACAAGTCTAAAACATTTGTCTAGCCCTGTACATGGCTGTCTGAACCTGCCCCGATAGACCAGAACAGTATGTCCACGTATTCCTCACTGCTTGCTTCCTCCCTGAGTGATCGGGTTTCATTCAGTCGTGTGCGCAATGTTTGATTCTCATTGCTTCCTTCCTCACTGAGTGATTGAGTTTCATTCCGTTGTTGGACTCTCTCTTCCTGTGAATACCTAAACCATATCTTGTTTGAATCTATACCAGCTCGGACCTCATGTCCTAGGTATTGTTGTCCGAGGGCTTATCCTAGTTCCGCGTTTTGTCTTGGTTCTTCATTTTTCTGAGTAACCAGCTCTTGCAAGTAGCCAAAATCTCCATTTCTACTCACAGAGCTGTTCTCTAATGGAAACTTTTGGTGTTACTGGGTGTGGCTTGGCATCTTCCTGCCCATGCTGTGGCCTTGAGGGCTGTGAGTCTTGCATGCTTTTCGGCTGATTTCTTAATTTTTGGTTGTGGTATCATGGGGAATACCTTTCAGGAGGAAAGGCGGAAGCAGATCGAGTTCATGGAGAAAAGCTTGATGCGTAAACTGGAAGATGCGGAGAACCTGGTCGCCCAGACAGAAGCAAAGAGAGTAAAATGTGAAGAAAGAGAGTCTGAATTACAATCCTTTGCACAGAAGCAGGCTGAGAAGGAGCGCCTTCTGAATGATAGGGAAAAGGAGTGTGCTCGTCGGGAGGAATCTGTTGCCGCGCAGCTAAAGAAGGCTATGGACAGAGAGATGGAAGCACGGAAGAGGGAAGAGGCATCTTCCGGAATCGAGAGGAGGACTAGAGAGATGGTGGAAAAGGCTGCGGCAAAAGTGGCAGAGAAGGAAAAGGATACAGCAAAGAGGGAGGCGGATGTAAGGATTTTGGAGCAGGAGTTGCAGTCTAAAGAAAGGGGATTGAAGGTAAAACTCTTGACTTGTAAGGATGCAGCTGTCTTCTAATTGGGCAGGGGTATTATGTGGCGTGGGTGATGCTAAGTGAGTTGGGTGGCACTATGTGGGGTGGGTCATACTATGTGGACTGGGTGGTACTATGTGGCCCAGGTGATACTATGTGGGTTGGGTGGTACTAGGCGGCGTGAGTCATAATATGTGGACAGGACAGCAATGCGTGCTCTGGCCAGTAGACTGTGGGGTAGGTGGTTAATGGACACCCATCAACTGTTAGTAGACAGACCCGAGCTCGAATCCTGTGAAGAGAAACCAGAAAACAACTCCGAGGGCATACTCACACTTGGACATTTTCTATGAAGCTCTGGGTGCAATTGCAGTCAGTTCGTCCAGGAGATGCATTTTGGCAAGGGCTAATGTGAGTATGCCCTGAGATCGTTTTCCCCCTTTTGGTGTCAGCTGCACCGGGATTCGAGCTCGTGATCTGGTTGCTAACGGTCACATGTCTGCTTTCCATTGAGACTGGCCTGATATGTCACTCATATTTGAACATGCAGCGAAAGTCAGGCCCAATCACAACTAGCCTGCACCTACGCCGGAGCCCCCCAAAACTGCGCTGCAAAGCAAACAAAAAGGGGGGAAATCCGAAAAAATAGTTGTGGCTGTCCCACCAGCTGAACAACTTTTGAATGGGCTCATCACGCCAGACGTGGTTTAAGCTTTAGAAAGACAAGTGGACCCGCCGCAGCTACGCTGCGGCAGCCGAGGGTGAGCGAAGGTGGAGGCGGGGGGGAGGGCGGTCCGTGCTGTCATCCGCTCGGCACCCTCTCTCTTTCTGTCTCTCCTCTATTCTGCTCGACCTCCTTTCTCTCTGCCTCTCGGCGATTCTGTCCGCTTCTCTCTCTCTCTCTCTCTCTCTCTCTCTCTCTCTCTCTCTCTCTCTCTCTCTCTCTCTCTC